GGGGGGGGGCGGGAAAGTCCAGAATCTTTCTATCCCATTTCCCATGATTCTTTCTGAAACGTCCTCGTATAGGTCTGACAGGCTATTTCTACAGGTACAGTTAGTCACCTGTGTGCAAATCCACCCATGAACGTTGGGGTGCACACCAGGGGTTACATGAAGAAAATGTCCTAGACATAACCAAACACCCCACAGGAGCATCACTGGGCCTGCGGGCAGGCCCCTGGTCTTGGGACAGCCAGGTCACTGGGCACAGTACAGCTCACAGCATCTGACACCCTACTTTGGGGAGTAGGGACTAGGGTCTTCAATGCTCTTAAGCGGACATCTAAGTTGCCCTTTTCCCTGTCTGAAGGAAAGAGGAATGACAAAAAAGGGAAGCCACATAGAGCCAATTAGTCTAACGGACTAAGGGACCACACAAACATTTATCCACAACTTTGACACCAGAAGAACTAGATGGTGCCTGGCTACCACGGCAGTCTGGAAGAAGGTCCTGGGTAGACGGGGAGAAGAATGGGAAGCAGAACTCACAATCCTAAGAGAGACCAGGCTTCCTGGTCAGATCAAGGGTGGTGGGATCCCCAGACCCCAGGTCTGGGACTGAACTCATTCCCGTGGCTCAGTTTCCAGCCAAAAATCAGCAGACGTGCAAAGGGAACAACAGCAGTAGTGAGGTACACAAGCCTTTGAATAATCAACCATCTGGGAGCCAAAGAGCCGCCTTTCCCCTTGTCCTGAGGTCAGGAGAGGAGGAGGGGCAGAGACGGGAATCACGAGAGGAAGATGGTGCATGGGGGGGCTGTGACCAAGGGCACAAACACAACGATGTGGAATGGAAAACCGGTTTGCTCTGTAAACTTCCACCCCATTCACAACACAAAGTCTTTTTAAAAGATACTAATGGCGATGGCAGCTACCATTTTCTGAGTGCTCGTTGCCAGATCCGGTGCCGGGCAGTGAAGCATATCATCTCACTGAATTGTCACAACTCTGCAGGGAGGATACTCAGGCTCAGGATGATTAGTAACTCGACCAAAGACGAAGCTGCTCAGTGTCAGGCTGGCATTCAAAGCCTGCGCTCTGAACCCATCACAGGCCTGCCTGGCAGCCGCACCGTAGGCCAGGTGTGATAAGGGAGACCCATACTTTCTGAATCCCCTTGGTCACCCTTTGGTGGCTCCCCATGGACCTGGCTAAGCTGACTCCCTTCTTCCTGCTGTGGCCTCCCTTCTCTGTGGGTGCCAGTGGCCCCACCTGGGGATGTGTTGTGCCCGGGGCAGAGGGCTGTCCTCGTACATCTCCAGGGCACCTTTCACACAAGACCCCGTGTCGGGACGTGGCAGGCAGTGAGGCTCCGGGAGAAGCCGGGTCTTGCCTTGCTCTCTATCCTGCACAGGCCAGGTCAGATGGGCCCGAGGGCATTTGGTTTGCTCAAGGATGACATGGAACGACTCATCTGTTCAGCCTGAGCTCATCCTTCACCTCTTGGGCGCAAGCTGGGTCTGGAGGCAGGTGGTGGGAGGAAAGGACTCTAACCCCAAGGGGGTTCTGCCACCTTGACAATGGCCCAGAGTCAGGCCCATCTGGGTACAGGACACATCCAGCAAAGCCCATCAAGAACTCACTAAACAGAGGAGCCGCGTGTGAAGATGCTAGCTCGTCCACCGACTACCCCGTCTGAGGGCACCTTCTAGCTCAGTAACAGATGGTCTCAGATGACAAAGATATTACCACTGGGCACTGTGTACCTTAAAAATCATGGGCAGGAGACCAACTGGTCACCAGCCACCCTACAGAAAAGACAAACGGGCAAGGGGACCGAGACCAGCTTCCTGGAAGCGAAAGGTCTACCAGGGAACGCATGGGGATGTTGAAGTGCTGAGAGAAATGTGAGCAAGACCGCACGGCCCGCGCTGTTGTTATTAGTGATCAGAGTGACCTTAGTGTGTGCAGTCTCTGCTGGCGCCCACTGCGGTAGCCGTCTCTGAAAGGTCTCCCCTTTTTGACTGACCCTTTACCAAGCACGAGGTCTGTCTCCCCAAACTGAACCCCCCCAAAGGACATGCGCCAGCCTCTCTTCTAAGAGTGCTGGCTGCACTGCTTCCCCGGCAGATGTCTCTGCCCTTCAGCCCACGGCCTGTGCAATATTCTCTGGCAAAGCCATCCTCAAGTGCAGCAGCGCTTCCTAGCCCACAGCAGTTTTCCAACGTATGCGCTACTGCCCCCTAGTGGAGCTGGTGGGGCCATCCAGGATTACGGGCTACAGTACAGAGGATTACGGGCTGTAGTGAGGGTTTTCATGGCCAAGGGGGCATGGGGTGATTTTTTTTTTTTTTAATGAAAAGGGGGTGGAGATCCGAAAGTCTTGGGAAGCTGTGGCCTAGACTGGTTCGGCAGACTGGCTCTCAAGCCATGTGTGGCTCTCTCTGTGTGTACGTGTGGCCCTGAAGTAACATTGGAAACTTATAAAGGGTATTGTTCAGATCATGGCGAGTTCACTGGTTGGTAAAAACACATGTAGGCTCTCGAGTGATCTTTAAACTGTGTGAGGGGCGGGATTGGCTCTGCTGCCCCAAACGTTCACTCGGGCTGCAGAAACCTGTCCACCCAGGGGCCCTGCTGGATTGGCTTCCAGCCTCACAGCAGCACAGGTGTGGCCCCAGATGACAGCCGGATGGACGGTGGGAGGACAGTGGGAGGACGCTGCGTGGGGTAGTTGTAAGGAGGAGCGTGCACTTGCTATGGGTACGCTCACTAAGACATAAGAAAGGGTGACGTCCCAAACACCAAGCTGAGGGCTGCCTTCCCCAGACCCAGCCTGCGCTGCAGAAAGCAGCCCCACACGCGACGGCCTGCACAGGGCGGCCCCGTACCAGGATCTCCTGGAGCTCGGCCTCGCGCTGCTGCTTCTCCTTGAGCAGCTGCTGGAGCAGGGAGCTGAGGACCCAGCGCTGCTCCGCGATCATCTCCTGCAACACAGAGCACATCCGGGTCGCTGTCAGCCCGACGCCTCCCGGGCCCAGAGTCCTCCCTACAAGGTGGCAGAGTCAAGAAGGGCAGGTCGGGGCCCCCCACTCATGGTGTCCCCAGGGGTCCTTCTCAAATTAAGGTTCTGCCCCAGGTCTGTAGGCTGAGCACTGGAGGCCTGGCCCCCGGCCCACCTTCTCCTAAGCCTGCTTGCGTCTCCCTTCCCTGGGGTGCAGCCCAACACGGGCACCTAGTGAATGATGACAATGGAGAGGTGAGAAACATCAAACAAAAGAAATGACAAGGCACAGGCACTGACCCCGGTCTCACTGACCACACAGGACACAGGCAGGGTCCGTCTGTGTGCACCCCACATCAATGAGGATGGCTCTAAGCAAATACGGCACGTGCAAGCCAGAGCTGAGCTCTCTGTGGTCTCCTTGGGGGGCGTGGTCCACACACCACTTGCTCTTGAAGAGGGACCTGGGAGACCTGCCCCCCCC